CCTGACTGACAGGGTGTCAGGTTCTATTCTGACTCTGTCAGTGTTTTGGGTTTGTTCTTTGTAATGTATTTGTATTTTAATTTTCCTAGTAAAGAACTGTTATTCCTATTCTCATATCTTTGCCTGAGAGCCCCATAATTTCAAAATTATAATAATTTGGAGGGAGGGGGTTCACATTTTCCATTTTACAAAAAGAGGCTCCTGCCTTTCTTGGCAGACACCTGTCTTTCAAACTAAGACAGATTTACCTGTCTTTCAAACCAAGACACACACTGACTGTGATCCATGGCCATTATTTCGTGTGAGCACCAGGGATGGAGCCAGGAAAGTTTGAGAACTATCAAGAAGGATTGCAGAGCCCTGGGTGTGGTGGTAAGAGACTCGGGAGTGCAGGTAGTTTTTTCCTGGATGCTCCTGGTCAAAGGGAAGGGGTCTGACAAGTCCAGTTGAATCTGGGAATTCCACAAATCCTTAAAGGACTAGTGCCACAGCCAGTGGATTCAGATATTTAGAATATGGGACTTGCTATGAGAAACCTGCTCTGCTGGAGACTGATGGGGTCCTTCTGTCAGAAAAGGGCAAAAGTAATTTTGGTTATAAGTTGGCCAACCTGGCGAGGAGGACTGTAAACTGAAGTTGCTGGGGAAAGAGAGCCTCAATCCATCCCACTCCTACCAGCTTGGTGCCAAGGCCAGCAACAGATGCCCAGAACCTGGAGAGAGATCACGTCAGCACCTGAAGAGCACCTGAAGTGTCAGAATGGTGGGATACAGGCTCTTTAGGAAGGACATTGTCCTGGATTTCAAGAGAGCAACCTTTGGTGTCTTCAGGGATCTGCTTGGAGTGTCATGTGATAAAGCCTCAGAGGGAAGAGGGGCTTAAGAAAGTTGTTAAATGTTCAAGGATCATCTCTTCCAAGCTCAGGAGCAATGCATCTCAGCAAAGAGGAATTCAGACACAAACACCAGGAGGCCTACACGGATGAACAGAGAGTACCTGGACAAAGTCAAACACAAAAAAAAGCCTTCTGAAGATGGAAGCAAGGAAAGGTATCATGGGAGGAATGCAGAGAGGTTGTTTGAGCAGCCAGGGATCAGGTTAGGAAATCTAAAGCCCAAGTAGAATTAAATCTGGCTGGGGATGCAAGGGCAGCAAGGAAAGTTTCTAAAGGTATTTTGGTGATAAAAGACTAGGAAAAATGTGTGCCTCTTCATAGGGCAATGGGAGACCCAGGATGTGGAGCAGGCTGAGATACAAAATGATGTTTTGTCTTGGTCTTGCTGGCAAGTGGTCCAGCAGTGAGGAGGCCATGGAGATGCTCCAGGGACTGGAGCTCCTCTGCTCTGGAGACACGTTGGGAGAGCTGGGGATGTTCAGATTGGGGGAGAGAAGGCTTTAGGAAGACCTCAGGGCCCCTGCCAGTGTCTAAAGAGCCTCCAAGAGCTGAAGAGGGACTTTGGACAAGGGTCTGGAGGCACAGGACAAGAGGGAATGGCTTCTCACTGCCAGAGGGCAGGATTAGATGGGATATTGGGAAGAAATGCTGGTCTGTGAGGGTGACGAGGCTGTGGCACAGGTTGTGCAGAGAAGCTGTGTCTGCCCATGCCTGGAAGTGTTCAAGGCCAGGTTGGACAGGTCTTGGAGCAACCTGATCTAGTGGGAGGTGTCCCTGCCCATGGCAGACCACTGGAACTGGATTATCTTTAAGGTTTCTTGCAACCCAAATCTTTTTATGACTCCATGATTTTGTATTTAGCTGAAGATGTAGGTTTTGAACTCCAGGCCATGGTTTTCTGTTTTGGAACAACACATCAAAAGAAACATAGCTAATTTACCAGTTGCTTATTGAAATCCCATTAAAATTTTTCAACAGCCATTTATTTCTCCCCAGTTATTCTCTTGTGTGGTCCTGTTATCAGTCAGGAAGGAGAAAAAAGATATATCTGATGCATAAGTTTAATTATCTCATTTTAGGATCAGCTATAGAATTCAGCTATTTTTTATAAAAATGAATGGGACTTCTGTTGCAGGTGAGAGTTTTCTAAAGATATCTGCTGAGTTTCTGAGCATGTGTATTATCTTCACTATGATGACATATTATCTGAGGCTTATATATTTTAAGTCAAATTAAGACATGATTTACAGTTTGCATCATTTTTTCCAAATAACCATGGAAAGTCCCCAGCTCTGAAAGCTTCACCAAAAAAACCTGATGAACTGGTACTTACCAAAAAACCCTACAGACCATTTAAAAAATTAAACTCAGAAGAAAAGTGGGGGGAGGAATGTGTGGTTTAAAATGCTTAACCAGCTTACACTGTCCCCTCCCAAATTCCACAGTATGGCTGGACAATCAGCTACACCCTTAAAAGAAACCTTACTTGGTGACAGAGTCGTGTGTATAGTGGGACCACAGCCACACTGACACATCCTGGGCCTCATCCATAGTGGGCTGGAGGTGATGCAAAGACTGTGATTGCCACTTTGTCATCTTCAGATGCCCAGCACCTTGCAGAGCCCATCATCACTCACAAGGGCTGCAGAAGAGAGCTCCCATCTCTGCTCTGCTCACCCACATCAAGCTGAGTCCAAACTGCTGGTCATCATCTCCAAGGCATCTGGTATCCTTTCCTGGTGTCCAAAAGCTCCCAGCTCCTCAGAGCAAACCCAAGCAGAGCTCTTAAGTTGTGTATCAGCTGCAGACATGCACAGCATCTCCCATCCCTTCCCCTCAAGAATGACCCTCACCCAGGTACTATCCCAAAACACTGTTGACACCCCTTATCCATCACCATGAGATAAGAATATATGGTGTGGCTCCAGCAGGAAAGCAGAGTTGGGATCAAGCCAAGCATTGCATCAAGCAGATTAAAGTGTCTTTACTCCAACAGCCATACCAATCACACATAATTCCTCCAAGGAATTATAGTGGCATCAAAAGGGCAAGTAACAAAGTGACCTGTAACTGGTTGAATGTGAAATATGAAAAGAAAATCCTTAAAAGAGAAAAAGCAGGCAAAAATCTTGTGGCAAGCTGTTGCAACAAATGTGCCTGGCCTTGCTTTGAGCAATCTTTGCCAATTTGAGGAGAAATTGTCAATGGCTTCCTCAGGGGACTTGCTCTCTTCTGGCCTTGTGGTGGGAGCACACCCCGGGAAAATGTGGTAAGAAGAAACAATTTTATTTTCATTATTCCAAAGACTTGCACAGGATGATTTATCTTGACAGCAACAAATTCTTAGGAGGAAACTGCCACTTGCTGACACATCCTACTTCAGACACATCCCAGATGTCCAGTCCCCTCCCAGTTTGAATAGCAGAAGACCTCTCCTAGGCAGAAGAATTCAGCTTAGGACATCACAGTGTTCTTTGTTTAATCTTTTAATGCTCTGCAGGCTCCTACCTGTTAGGTTCTGCTTATTACTGACTACCAGACAACTCCTAGATAGAAATGGTGTTTCTTTATGTTCAGTTTCAGCCAAATTTGGAACAGCATCTTAAGAAACCTGACCTCTCTGCAAAGCTTAATGTGAATCCATCCCATGCTCAAAGCTTCAAAATCCCTTACAGGTTTTGGTAATGGAGAGTTTAAGTGTTTATTGCCTTCAGACCTGTAAACCTGTGAAATTCGTAAGGAGTTAACTTAGTGTGATGCTCCAGTATTACACTTTAGCCCCTTTTTTTGTGAACAAGACCCAGTTTCCACCAGACACAGGAATGAGATGTATCACAACAGGTTTGCAAGCAAGTACTGATAAAAGTAATTAAAATGAAAGTGCTTTGAGGATGCAAAGGTCGCTAGGTAGGAGTGAGAGCAGGAGATGATGTCAGGCTAAGGCAGAGGAAATGAAGAAATGCAAGCAGTCTATGCAATGGAGACCTTGCTGCTGGAGGAAACATTGCATCATATCTCCAAGTGGCATCACTGTGGTGGCAGGAGCAGGTTTGGGGGACTTTTTACCCTCCAGATCTGCTGGCAGGGGTATCATGGTGACTGAGCTTAGAGACACACAAAACTCTACCCACGCACAAAGGCAGAAGTGGGTTTTCAGGTACGTCTTGCCCTTCTCAGAAATTACTATCACAAATTAGGGGAAGAGAATTTGAAACTGTTCTTAACCTTCTTAGGCCACAAGTCCTCAATAGCTAATTACAGCTTACAGAGACAACTCTGAAGACATCCAGGCTACCAAAACCCCTGTCTGTCACACAATACATGTGGATTTCACCTCAGAACATAAAGCCAAACACTGGACTCAGACAGCTGAGTTCAGGGGTAATTTGAGAAGCAAAGAACCTCTAATTTTTTTTTACCAGTATTATGCAAAATTGAGCTTAGAAGCTGTCTCAAAAATGTCTACTAGAAAATCGTATCAGTAGGATTAGGATTTCAGAATTGATCACTTCTGCTCATTTCAAGCCCAGCCTCTGTCAAATCCTCGCTCTGCCACTTCATCCCCTCTCCCAGGCTCCAGGGCACTGGTGCTCACACACCACCCAATATCAAAATAGTTGGTGCAGTGCAGTGAGTGGTGCCGTGGGTGCCATGGGTGAAGTGACACCTAAGAACACCTCCTGGCAGCACTGCTTGGCTCAGCTGTGGTCACACTCCCCCATCACTGCCCAGCTCCATTGACCTGCACAAGAAGATAATGGGATAGGACTGGAGACTCCAGATGTTGCTGCAACGATAATTGCACAGCCTCCAGACAGAGGAGGAGATCATCAATGTGTGATCTCAACGTGTGCAAGGTGGGGACATCCCCAGGGTGTGCCTTAGAGGCTGTTTTTGGGTGACTGCTCATTAACAGCCTGGAAACCACCATGAGAGGTGATACTGATGCCTAGAAATGAACCAATACACTTTGGAGATAATATTTGTATGGGAGGTATTATAAAGACTGGTCTTTACTGGAGGCCTCTGAGGGCCAGATACAGAAAATGCCTAAATGCCCAAATGCCCAAATTCCCAAATGCCTACCCCCACACGGGGTGAATACAGTTTTATAAGTTTAGCAAATTAACATAATTGACAAAAATCACCAATTAGGAGCACAAGTAGTGAGGCAATTCCTCCTTGGTTCAGCCCCTTCCTAAATCCTTTCCCCTCAGATGGGAACTAAACTTTGTTTATGAAAATGTGTCTCAAAAAGATGGTTTCAACCTTGATTTACAGGAAGAACTAAGATAGGATAGGGGCCTTGTACCTGCTGGGGCTTGGAGGTCTGGAATGTGTTTTGTCTTTCTGCCTAGGGAAAAGGTAGGGAGAAGTACTGGGACTAGCTACGAATACAGTAACAGACTACAGAGCTACAAATACATGTGTAAAGAATATAGAATATATAAAAGCAAAAGTAATTCTGGCAAGGTTACCACCGTGGAACTCAGCAGCCAGGCAAGGCACTCAGCTGCAGCACAGCATAAAGGCACCAGCAGCTGTGTAGGTCAAGCTATAAATTCATGCCACCCAACTCACCCCAGACAATATTGTTTTGATAAATTTTGAGACACTCAAATCCCTCTGGGCCCCACTGATCATCCTTCTTGTTCTTACAGGGAATTGAAGGGGATCTTAGATGATTAAATTCTTCTCTGTGAGGGTGGTGAGGCCCTGGCATAGGTTGTCCAGTGAAGCTGTGGCTGTTCCACTCCTGGGAATGTTCAAGGCCAGGCTGAACGGGGCTTGGAGCAACCTGGTGTCCCTGCCCATGCCAGGGGGATTGGACTAGATGGTTTTTAATGTCTTTTCCAACACAAACCATTCTGTGATTCTATGAAACTCAACATTTTGCATAAAACCCCGGAGTCAGAAGTGACTTCGAGAAAGGACAAAGAAAAATGTGTTGACCAGCAACCCCGACCCATTATTCCCACACGCAAGAAAAGATTTGTCTTTCAGATTAAAAGACTGTGACATTTACAAATTACCATGTAGGCTTCCTGATAAATAATTTTTAAGTGGAAATTCCCCAGCTATCCCAGGCCAGAAGCAAACACTGCAAGAGAGAGGAAAAGAAGCTCATAAGACTTTACAATGGCGAGATAGGACTAAGGGCTGGAGAGAAGAAGCCAGTGCCCTGTGTAATGGAGCACACAGATACCTATGTTATTTGACATGAAGTCCATGCAGCATTTATAAGGCAGAAAGCAAATGAAATGGTGCTAAGAAAAGAGACAGGTCAAGAGTAATCTTTTGTGCAGAGGTAATCAGCAGCTTTGGTGTGTATTGTGGAGTAGGAGGCAGTTAGGCATGGAATTCTCTAAGTACCCAATGCCCAGCTTTTAATGGCCACAACAATGCTGTGTTGTTCACAGTTCCTGGATATGCTGGGAAGGAAAACTCCAGGATAACAAAGATTTTGATAAATGCCAATCACACTGTGCTGTGCTGGTTTCCTGGTGCAGCAGAGGAAGCAACCAACCTGCTTAGTCATTAATGGTTACCTCTATCCATGTATCCACATTGGATAGCAGGCAGGACAGTGCCATATTGATTGCATTTCTTATAGACTGGGTCAGGAGGACTAATAACTGCCCCAGTTTCCCTTGATGCTTTGCCATGTTTACTTCAGGGAAAACTTTGATTCCCAAGGATTGTACTGGTGTGAATCTGGGAAAAATGGAAAAGAAGAACAACTGGTCTAGATACAAAAACTTAAAGCACTGAGACTGGGCACAAATTAGGAATATTAATCATAGAATAACAATGGTTTGGGTTGGAAGGGACCTAAAAGATTTTTGGTTCTAAACTCCCTGCCATGGGCAGAGACACCTCCCACTAGACCAGGTTGCTCCAAGAACTGCCCTTAAATATTTCCGAGGGATGGGGCAGACACAGCTTCTCTGGACAACCTTTGCCACAGCCTCAACACCCTCACAGACAAGAATTTCTTCCCAATATCCCATCTAATCCTGCCCTCTGGCAGTGGGAAGCCATTGCCCCTTGTCCTGCTCCTCCAGGCCCTTGTCCAAAATCTCTCTCCAGCTCTTGGAGCCTCTTTGGGCACTGACAGGAGCTCTGAGGTCTCCCTGGAGCCTTCTCTTCTCCAGAATGAACAGCCCCAGCTCTCCCAGTTTGTCTCCAGAGCAGAGGAGCTCCAGACCATGAAGCATCCTTGTGGCCTCCTCTGGACTCACTTTGAATGGTTACTTACCCATTGAGCAAATTGCATTGGTGTGCAGGGATAAAGGTGTGATACATCCCTGACTGTCTCACTCTGCTGCTTAACAAGAACCCTGAATCAATTTTTTCCCCATTTATGTCATTGAAACAGAGTTGGTATTTCCTGACTGACCCAATACACTGATTAATATAATCAACAGTCACATTTTATGATTATTCCAACCCACTTGTTCCACTCAGCCTGAGCAGAAATTAATTTCCCCATCTCAAAAAAAAGGCCAATGACTTTTATTATTATTTACTTTCAGACTCTATTCAGCCCTTCAGTTTCTCTATGTGAGTCAATCCCCTCCAGCTGTGAATCTCAGCTAGTTTCCTGGCAAAGCAGTTATTGTCCTGCCCAGCATTTCTTTCAGAGCACTACACTAAGGGAACAATAATCTTGCTATTATTCTTCAGCACCTTTGCCTTCACTCTGAATGCTAATGCAGACTAGAGGTGCCAGCTGGGGTGTTTTATAGACTGAAGCACCTGAGCAAATTCCCTCCACTACTGTAAAACATGAAAGAACATAAACTTGGTGCAATCACATAGACATCACAGATATTGTGAGTCCTCTTGGGGACTACATGGGTTTTGGATAGAGAAACCCATTCCCTTAATTTGGGTGGGATTCAAGGGTGGTGTGAGAGATGGGTGTGGATTAGGCATAAAAGAAATTATGGAGTTTATAAGATTTAGCCTAGGAGACAGTTTTGTGTCCTATATTAAAGTTAATCCTGTAAGATATAAATAAAGGAAATTTCACAAGGTCAGAGAGGTGGGTTGCACTTGGATACATCTGAACTGGGCCAGGAAACAAAACAAACAAAAGTATGGAGAGAATCTGCAACTCTGAGGTCCTGACCCTGGGCTCAATGACACCCTCTTTTGCTATCAGACAGACTTAGTGGTGCCTTTAGACATTAACTCAGACACATGGAGAGACGTCTGCCAGCCCTATTATGAAGCCCAAAAAACTGGCTTCAGAGCCCCATATTTCTTGCCCCTACAAGTGCAGTTTCTGTTAAATCACTGTGCAAGTTATAGATGGGCTGAAGTCTCAGGAGGATTTCTTTAGGTTCATTACTTTATTAATTCTGTTTATCTTTCTGTTCCATGGTGATAGCTTTACTGGGAATAAACTCACCTGTGTGATCTTTGCCTGTGTTTAGTTAAAGACCACGAGGTACAATACTTTCCACAAACACAGCCTTGTTAGGGGAGTCATACACTGTGCATTGTGCTGAAAATTATACTGTTCACATTCAGTGCCCATTTGGTGCCCAGTGAAGCTGGTGGAAACTTAAAAATGCTGGCAGCAAGTAAGGAAAACAGCTCTTTATTTTTAGTTCTGCCAAAATCTCAGCTGAAGGTTTGTCGAGAGGTCACCAGTCCACCTTTCATTACAAACTTGCTGACTCTGAACTTAGGTTGTTTGCTTGTTTGTTTGATTTTCTTAAGTGTCTGATAATCCATATAAAAGGCTGTAACAGAGTGTTACTGAACAAGCTTCAACTTTGCAAAGAGAAGCAATAGAAAAACAAAACAAACAAAACACCTCAATAAATCTCCAGTCAAAATGTTGCATCTGAGCAAACTCCTGGCATCAGTTTCTGCTCTGGGCTGAAACTTTGTCCATCCCCCAGTGAGCCTTTGAGCCAAAGTAATTTTTGGCCAAGTACAGTTTCTTCAGGAAGGTCAAGCCCTTAACCTCCAGTCCTCCTTTTGCTGGCAGCCTGGAGCCTGAATATTTTGGGACAGATGTTCAGGGCTGTGGATCACTTAAAAAATAGGGGGACCTGTTTGCCTTTCTTGGAGTTAGTCTGAAGATATTATTCAAAGCTCTTTGCTGCATGATGGATTTTTCATTTTAGTTTCAAGTCAAAAGATCTGTTACCTATTTTCTTGCTGCTAGTGAAGGAAATCACAAATAATTTTTCTCCTCACTAAAAAATAAAAATAAAAAAAAAATCAGAGTATTCAAAGCAAACAAAAAACCTCATAACCTTCATCAAGGGGACACTGGCTAATAATTTGTTCTATACAACTTGGGCTTTCACCCAGCTGCAGTCCTGTGCAGAATGTATGGGTGTACCAAAATAATGTTTCTAATAATCTCCCTGGGGACAAAGAGCAGAAGAATTTACATCCTGAACGAAGCAGGGATCCAACAGCAGATTACACTTCTAAGTGCAAGTTAGGTAATGCCTGCATTCCCAAGTTTGCTCCCCAAATCCATACCTGGAAAAGAGTGTGGAAGGAAAAGGGATTTTTGGCAGAAGGTCACTTATTACACGAATCCTGAATGGCTGGAGTGTGAGATGGGCATTGGGGAACAGCAAAACAGTAGGAACAGGCAGCACTTCTCGCTCCTAAATGTGTGTAGCAAGGAGACCCAGCTGCACCCCTTCCTCTACTCTTCCTGTGCTGGTTTCCTCAGCAAGAACACCTGCATTCATGTGTGAGAAAGGAGCTAAAATGCCTTCCAGCAGGTTGAGGTGGTTGGCCCCAAGTTTAGATATTTCAGTTGAAGTAAGGGATCCTCTGAATCTAATGCAGCTTTAGTTTCCTATTAAGTTTCTGAAATAAATGTATATCCTCAGTATTTCAAGAACATCAGATGAATTTGCAAGAAGTTTTTGGTTTCTTTCTTGAACGTGGGTACCCATCTTCCAACTAGCCTGTACCAAACACACCTGTGTCTTACCCAGCCTTATACCAGGACCAATGATCAATGACTGTTCTACCAGAGCATTGCTTGGGTGAGACCAGAGATGTTGGGATTGCTTGGTCCTTGGGGAGACAGTCTGGGAAGATCCTGGAATACCCAGCTGAGTGCTCAAGCTATCCATGCATTGAACCAGCAGTGTCTGAGAGGGCACACACTGCTCCCATCCATGCCATGACACACGAGGCAGGAGCAGGAGGTTCCCAAGAGATGAGTGCACTTACAGTGCATTACAGGGTAGGTTTCAGGGCTTCCCACACCCTGCCTGCCTGCCCAAGCACAGTGGCACAGACCCCTCTCCCAGCCAGACCCAGCAGAGAACACTTACACATCCTGGAATTAACAAGGTCAGAGGGAGAGCTGATGAAGGGTTTGACTCTGGTTCTGATGTAGAAGACTCAGTTGGGAGGGAGGAAGGGAAGAGTTCCTGATTCCTGATCTCTTCACACATGTTCTGCTATTTTCTCACTGAAATGGTGTTTCATCTGGATTCCCTTCAGCAGTCACAACACAGACTTTCCTATTCCTCAACCTCTTTACATGACTGCTCTCCCAAATGAGAAAATACTTTAGAAATATATGGGTATCTACTGAAAGGAAGGGTGAATTCCTGAGATTTTACAAGTCAAGTGGGTTTGGCCATTCTGGTATTGTTGGCTTAAGCCCCTAAAATCAAGAGCCAAACAAGGTTAAGGTGATAAAAATGCAGTTACCATTTAACGAAGGGTCCCTCCAGGTGCACAATATGCTGAAATACATGCTGAAAATGCATCAAAAATGCACACAGGATACAGGGCAAGTACAGTTTTATAAGTCTGGCAAATTAGCATAATTGACAAGAATCCCCAATTAGAAAAACAGGTAATGAAGTCATTCCACCTCTTGGTTCCACCCCTTCTGAAGCCCCACTCCTTGCTACTCGCTTATATCTAATACATGAGAAAGTGTCTTGGGAAGGTGTCCTGGTCTTGATTCCCAGAAGAAGCAAGATTAGAACAGGCTTCAATAATTTGTTTGATAGGAAAAGTATTTGAGTTAGGAAACTATATAACTGTACATTAATAGTCTACAGAGCTAGAAATATATGTAAAGAATATACAAAAGCAAAAATATTTTGGCATCAGTATGGTAGGCAAGCAGTCTGTAAAGCTGCTGCTGGAAATTTCTGGTTTTTGGCAGATCAGATACCTCATAGAAGGGCAACATGACTCAGGATAACAGGTGAATGCTCCAGATTATGCTTACAGAATTGTTTTCACACTTTTTTTTTTGAAAAAACCACCAGGCTGAGTTTCTGATTTGGGCTCTCTGAGAGAAGAAAGAGGCAATAAGGTCTCTTCATTCCCTGTGACTGGGCCAAGGCAGAGCACTATGTTGGCACATGCATGAAAGACATTGAGGTGCCAGAGCCTGTCCAGAGCTGGGGAAGAGTCTGGAGCACAACACCAGGTTGTTTAAACCTGTTTTATGCTTCTCCTGATATGATGAGGAAATTTAAATAGTTTCCACACCAGCATTTCTCATGAAGAAGGTAAAGGTCTTTTCCACCAAAAATGTTTCCCCAGTCCTCAGATGAGAGACAAAAAAGACGTTTTCTTGAAAAAGAGGCTGGGAACTTAAGCAATAGATAATCATGGGTCTATTTCTTCCAGTAAAGATGTTACCAGTGAAAGCTTCTGGCTTCTGGAGCACTACACAAGTTTGCTTGTCAGACTTTTACTGTTGTTGTTGTTATTGTATAGACACCTGCACACGAAAAGCAATGACAGACATTCTTTACGTTATCCTTACCAAAAATAGGATTCATTAGGAAAAAATCAAATGTGGAAAGCATATTCTTCTGCTCCTACATGAGAATGTGCCGTGTATCATAGTTTCTTAAGATACGGTGTACAAAGCCACATCTACTGATGCATAAAAGATCAAAGCCACATGTGCTGATGCATAAAAGATTAGGAATGATAGATCCTTCAAAATATGTTCAGTTTAAAGGAAGATGGAAAGATGAAGCTTGGTCCTAATAAAGTTTCAAGGACTTTGAAGGTTTGTGGTCCAAATTAATTCAGAGCCTTTTTTCTGGACAATCAGAAATTGGCAAGGACTGTTCAGTTTCTGAAGAAATTGTAGAGTATCAAAAAACTCTAGAAGATAAGCAAATACCTTGTGAAAATCAATATCCAGTATAGTCTTTAGAGCATCATCTACTCCAGTAAACTAAACATGATGAGGACTCAGACCGTGCATCAGTGTCAGTGCTGCTAAGCTCCCCCTGGGATGCCTCTGTCCTGGATGAACCAACCTCCTCCTCAAGTGCCACTAAGCACAGTCTGGGAAATAGCACAAGATGCTCAGGCACCATGTTTTGGTCTCAAATAGATTTCAGTAGTGTGGAAGAGGGATATGAAGGGCCAGTTGGTCTCAGTGCTGAAGAGCAGCCATGGGCAAGTCAAATTTGCTAAAGTAGACAGAACCTTAGAGAGAATTAATTACACCAGACATGCTCAGGATACAGAAATAACTGAGGCTTTTTGATGGGACAGCTCATGTGCAACTACAACCCAAAAGAAAGGGAGGATCAAAATTAATTTCCTGAGCCTAACAGGAACAATATTTGTTCCTTCAGGGAAAGGGATTAGAAATTCCAATGTGCTTTACTACCTGGGAGGAATATGGATGTCATGATAGAATTGTTCCTTGTTGTTTGTTAGATCAAACACAATATGCACGACAAGGCCTATCAGCAACCTAATTCTTTGCTCTTGCCAAACAAACACCCTTTTTTGCCACTTCAGAAAGCTGACTCAGCTGCACAAAGCCGACAGTGACAAAGCCAAAGGAGCAGCTTACACGAGCACAGACTGATACTGCTTCACAAACTGTCTTGGTTTGAGAGAGAAGTGCCTGCCCAGGAAGGTGGGAACCACCTCTGGAATGGAGAATATGACCCATTTCCTTCAGAGTTATTATAACCTTGAAATTAAGGGGCTTTCAGCCAAAGATATGGGAAAAAGAATAACAGTTCTTTGCTAGAATATAAATAACAAGACAAACAAACAAAAACAACGGCAGCAACAACAGAAGCAGAATCCCAAGCACAAGCTTCTCTGGGCCTCGGGCACTTTCCCCTGGGTGCAGTTCCGGGCACCTGAGTAATCCTGGAGTAACAAATGAAATGTATAAAAGCCCTCAGCTGTAGCAGGAGCCGAAGGGCTGCAGGATAGTGAAAACAGCCCAAGGCAGCAGCAGAGAGCAGCGGGGCTGGCTGGGCAGCCAGGCTCCTCCTCAGCAGCACTGCTCTTCACCTCTGGGAATGGGGTGAAGATTGAGGTCCCAGTCTTTTCCTCTGAACAGATGGCAAAGGTCCTTTCCAGAGAGGCAGGGTGCAATAAGGCCCTGGATCTGTCACTGTAGAGGCGGGTGTGACACACAAAAAGGCACACTGCATTTCACTACATTTATTACAACAGTTGACTGTCTTTTATACACTCTACAAAGTTTACACTTTCTTCATTGGTTACAATTAGTCAACATAACATTCATTGGTGTAAAACCCATCTCCACCTCTGTTTCTCACAAAACTTTTCTAAAAATACTTTTCCCCGCGCAGATTTCTTCTTGCTTATCCTCTTCCCTTCTTGGTCTTCAGGCCAACAGCCTTGGTCAGAGAATACTTCCCAAAACAAACCTCATTTATTGACCCTCTCTAACCCACAGACCAGCTGTGGGTCCTACTATACAGATCAAGGGCTGCTCTCATGAGCAAAGGCTCACCCATGCCAGGAGAAGCAGCACAGGGCTGTGCTCCGGTGGTGGCAGGGAATTCCTCCCCCAGGAAGCACAGCTTGACCTTCCTCCTCCGATGCTGAGAGAGAGAGGAGCCCAGTCCAGCCCCTCACACCCCAATAGCCAAAATCTGGTGGTATCTCTGCCCTTCCCAAGAGAATGCCCCTCAGCTGCACTATTCCCCCTTCTCCGTGGCTACTTCTTCTGTCTCCTGTAAGTACTGGTCGTTATTGTCTCTTAGCAAGAGATGGGAGAAAATTCCCTGATAGAAAGAAAACAAAAGGAGCAATCCTAACCTCCAGCCGAGGTTCAATTTCCTGGTATATTTTAAAAGATTTAATAAAAGACAATAAGAGACAAACAATAAAGCAAAAGGTAATAATGGCAGTAATGGTTTTAATTTATTTTTCTTATCAGCCTGAATTTGGGCTATGATCTTTAATTTCTACAGATGGTCAGTGCTGCTAACTGGTATATCAGTAGCAGGTGTCTTCACTGGGTGTTATCCAACCAAGCAGGCAGTTCACTAACTACAAAGACACTTTATCAGCCTATGTTACACCTAAAGAAAGCTATCTTAAAAACCATTCCAACACCACACATATAGTATCCACCTTAATATTTGCAAAAAGCCAAAACCATAATATGTATTTATGACAATAGCATGCCATGAGTGCAGCCTGTTCCCCACAAGGCTAGTGAATGAAGCCAGAAAACTGACTTAGGATCTGGGTCCTACCTAAGCTGGTGTCTCCAGCAAACAGACAAACACTAGAAAACCAAATAAACAAACAAAAAAACCCCAACAACAACAACAACAACAACAACAACAACAACACAACAAAAAAAACCCCAATAACAACCAAAAAAAACCAACCCAACCCAACCCAAACCAAACAAAAAAATAAACACCAAAAAACCACCCAAAACCCCCCACATAATAAGGTAAGAATTTCTGGTAACTTTTGCCTGGAAATGTGGCTGAAGTAGCTATGGATAATTGATAACAACATAGACACAAAGCAGACCCACTGTCTTGGTATTAGTTGACAAGAATTGTCTAGCAACTCAATCTAAACTGCTGCAAGGAGGGTTAGATGGGAAGGGAGCTGAATACATGTCACAGAGGAATTTATATCACAGGCTATGCTGTTTTTTCCCCACCTACTTACACAGTAGGTTTATGACTTTAATCTGTTTATTTTTAGTAGGAAGCATAAGTAGGTAAATACATGCTCTGAGCTGACATTTTAGGCAGGGAGGTTTAATTGTGTATGTGTGCTAATTGTTGTTATGTTTCTGGGTATTATTGATTTTGGACTTGCTTCTGCACCCTCCTGCACACCAGGAGAATAGGTTGTTTGGCTGCTATCACAAACACTCCCTGCTACTACTGTGCAAAATGCTCAGGGTGAGGGTTGCCACACTTCCCACACCCCCCTCCTGTTCTCTGCTAAAAATTTGGAGCTGTTGGCAGCTGCCAAATAGGTCTTAGGAGAGAATCCTCTTGTTTGTCTGCAGGATGAGTGGAGGAGAGACTGTGGCCATGCAGGTTGTCCCTACACTGGCAAAAGGCAGTCACCAAGATGGTCAAATGAGACACAGGCTCAGCTGCTGCTCTGCTTTTGCTTCCTTTGCTGTGAGAAGGGATGGAATCAGCTCTACCAGCATAGAAACTGAGCTTTGCCCATCTTGCTGAACTACTGGGTGACTTACATCTCACTGCCTCCAACGTGTCAGTGAAGGTGCTCAGGACTCAGGCTGGTAAGAAACAGTCTTTCACCTCCTGCCCATGTTCCAAGTCTGCAGCCACTCCAAGTTGTGCAAGCACTTGGCCCCAGTTCCAAGTCCCACAGGCAGCATAAGATTCCTCAGTCATACACAGATATTCTTGGCCATCCTTACATGGGAACATTTGTTGAAGAAAACTTTATAACCTGGTAAATTTGCACTGAACTTGGAATCTTTACACAACCCTCTCCTGATTCCCTATTTCATTCTGACTTCCTGAGTTAAAAGCTTTTTAGGTAAATACCAGATTTTTTTATAAACACTCAAGTTCAGTTCCAAACAATTTACATGGATT